TCATGTCATGAAAAAGATTTCCAATATAAAGTGTTTTCTTTGTCTGGGGCACTTTAACATCCTTAACGGGCTTTGTTGATAGCTTGAGAATGAAAAAGAATGCTTGCAGTAGACAGCAGGAAATTAATAAAAATCAGAACTCTTCACACCTTGGACTAATGGGGCGTAGCTTGGACAAATGGGGCGATGATAAAAATAAATCAGAACTCCTCACCCCTGGACTAATTGGGCGTAGCTTGGGGTAATGGGCCGAAGCTAGGACTAATGGGCCGTAACTTGGACTAATGGGGCGATGATGCTGGTAAACCAGAACTCCGCACACCCTTGGATTAGTGGGCCGTAGCTTGGACTAATGGGCTGTAAGTTGGACTAATGGGGAGATGATAAAAGTAAATCAGAACTCCTCACACCGTCGGACTATCGGGATGTAGCTTCGACTAATGGGGCCTATCTATAGCTTGGACGAATTGGCCGTAGCTTGGACTATTTCAATGGGGCGATGATGAAATTAAATCAGAACCTGTCGAAACGTCGTCCGCAACGCCAACACACTTCCACGATGTCCGGATGCCTATCCTGCGCGTCCACTCATGGGCCAGGAATGGCCAGGTACCGCAGACCAACGCACATTCCGGTGACGTGCGACCCTCCCTCCGGTTCGCAATCTGGTCCGCTAGGCCCTTGACTGCTCGCACTTTCTCCGCCCACGCCGCCACCGTCTCCGCTAAATGCTGGTTACTATGTGCACTGCTGAATCTCTTGCTTACTCCGAATCGTAGTGGATAAAGGCCTGGACGATCTGACCCGATCTGACCCTCCGGCCAAACACACGCTTCGCAATTACCCGCCTCTGCTCCCAAAAACACCGCATCCCATTCATCCAATACCAGTGGCCCAAACAATGTGTAATCCGCCTCCACAGATTCTATGGGGGAGCCGCTTCTCAAACACTTTAACGGGCTCAATAGCAGGCACTCCCTCTCTGCTGCGTTGATCCTGTGCGAGAGAGTGCTTGCGGCACCGCTTGCAAGTTGATTCCTGTGTGGGAACCAGTTTGGGTCACATATCCCAAGTCCCGTGTGAACAATGAGCCTCCCGCTCACTCTCGAAGACCCTGTCGCAACACGGGCACTGGAATACCCGGCTCTGTGGTATGAGCATCACCGCTGGCAACATGCAATACTGGAACATGCCTGCTGCTTAAAGCCTGCCATAGCCCCTGATTGAATTGTTCCAAGGAGGGAGACGTATTGTTGCTTACCATCCAGGGCATGATGCACACCCATGTTTACAGTGCGACCTAGTGGGGCAAGCAGTTTTAGTCAAGGCAACGCCTGCCTCCGGGCGGTTTTTCCAATGTGGGTACGCAAGGCACGAAAGTTGCACATGATCACATTGGCATGTGATTCGAAGAACCTGTGTGACTTCAATGACAATTTCGATTACAGCACCACTAACACAAAGCACCTTGTAACGTTTGCTCAACCATCTGCGCCTGTGGCCATCTAAGTGCAAAACATTCTTCCTTGACTCGTCCACGTCAAGCCACACAAGTAGGCGACGAAGAATTGGCCAGGCCAATCGATTGAAAGAATTCTTGAACTTCTTTGAGCCACTGCGCAGGGAAGCTTCAAAGGCCAGCAACTACCAGGGACCGGAGGATCCCGACAGCAGAAGGGGCACGGCACGAGGACAGGATCAACAAGTGACACCGGGGGCAGGGCAAGGGCTACACAAACCACGGCCAGCCAAAAGGTCACAAAGGAGTAGATCAGAGGGACAGCAACACAAAAAACTCGTGAGATGCCGTTTCGGAGCACCCGGATCAAGTCGAAGCCGAAGTCGCCTGGGAACAGCTCCTCGGACGCGCCCGTCCGCCTTTAGGATCTTCAGCAAGAGCCACTGGTCGTCACCAGCAGCTCCGCTACCATGCGAACCGGAAGTGCGCAACAGCAAAGCGGGCTTAACCCTTTTTCGACAGCTCAAGGCGCCTGCGAAGCTGTGCACAAGACTTCGCCATGCTTTTCCTCCATGAATGACTTTACGGGGCCTTTCGGGGTAAAGCTCTGGAGCTCATGGTGCTCAGTTCTACAGAGGTGCTGGCAGCCAACCCTCATCTTGCCTTGGCTGGTTTCTTCGTCTCAGGCACTTGCGCGTGGTCTGTAGCGGTGTTTTGCTGGCTCAAAGCCTCATACCTTGATTATAGGGTAGTGGTTGGGGGTTCAGCTGACAATCCCAGCTGCGGGGCAGTTTCACGGTTTGGGTTTTCAACTGGTGCACTCCAGCAACACTTGTTCCACCTGAAACCTTCGGTTCTGCCGCAGACTATAACAAACCAACCCCATCCAAGCCCTGCAACCCTCAGCGATTTGTATCTCAACAGGTCGTGTTCAGCCTACTGTGACGTGCCACTCGAACAACCAACTGGCCGGGCTGCCCACTCAAACTACAACCCACCCGCCTTTTCAGGTTTCTTTTCAGGCTTCTTGGCCTCCTCCGCCACCTACGTTGAATTGAACGGGTTGATGGTGCAGGGCTCTCTGAATCCTTTGGATTAGGGTTATAGTATAAGTATGGGCCTTATTGAGTACTGCCTTTAGTAAGGCCTCAGATTAGGTTGGGCTTTGGGGGGGTGGGCAAACAGGAATGCGTAATCCTTTACTCGCTTCAGAAATTTGACCCAAGAGACGGAGAATGAACACGAATGCTCATGCAAGCTTCAGAAGGACCAAGGAAATGCTCTCCGTCTGACGTAGAGATCTAAACAGGTGCGCTTGTTGGGGTTTTCCAAAGGGGCCTCGCATAGGAGAAGAACTACCAGCCTATCAATGTCTCTCCGGATCCTAACTGATGTATTCACACCAACCTAACGGATGAAATCCTACAGTCCAATCTTGAATGCCTGGCTTGTCGAAAAGACTGAAAAGCTTCCCTCGAACCACTTCATGCGGCCCACGGAAAGAGTTCCCGAAAGCCAGCTGGACTCGCGCACCTTGGCTTTCTTCTTTGGAGGCTCCTGGATCCAATGTAGTGGGGTCTTGGGTTCAAGTTCCCACAAGGCTGATGACGTCGGCTTATCACTGAAGTGTCGTGCGTGGCTTTTGCATTCGAAATTCTTGAAGCTTCGGAGACAGCATGGAACGTGCTGTATGTCCAGGCCAGTGAACCAAACCGTACCCCAACATATGAAACTCCAACTGCCAAAAGTCCTGTGGTGGTGCCTCTGGCACTTTCGGCTTTTTGGGTTTCTCCTCCACCGCCTGCAGGCTTCAGCATTTGAGATTGAAACTGTCAAGGCATGCAGTTGCTAGCTTGGGCTTCCGGGTTCATGGTTGAGCCATGCGGCTATATGATGTGAGTTTGGGTTGTTTCCAATACCCAACCCCAACTTAGCTGAACACAATCACGACGACTATCTTAGATTTGAAACCTCATGGATCCTGGCCTGGACACGTTAGAGCACAAGTTTGTCCATGATAAACATTGGAAGGGGTTTTCTCATGAGCAACGCAAACAAGAAATACAAGCCACTGTTCAGACAACGGCTTGCAAACAAAAATGGCGTCGCCGTGCTTTGGCAACACATGGCATGGACCTAAGCAGCAAAACTGTGTATACAAGTCTACTGTTCTCCAAGCCTGGTATTCCATTTCCGAAGGACGGCGTAGACGCACAACAGCAAATTGCAGCAAGAATTCTTCCCGGCATGCAGCGGAGGCCATCAGCCGTCTAGGTGG